GTCACGAGGAATGTGGGTAAAATGTGGGAACTTCCCTCTTCATTCAAGATGTCTGGCCCGCTTTAGAAGAGTCGGCCAAAATACTGTTTAAATGTGCCTCTCGAGAGGGTCTCTCTAGTGGGGTCCACTATTTGCCAGCAGTGGCATAAGCAGGGAATTTCAGGGCTGCCCCTTTACCTCTGTATACTTTTCAGCATTAATCAACTGGTAACCAGCTATAGGATGTCTATCCCAAAGGGCTTCCGTGACTATTCCACAACGTGTTTTGTTCTTCAGAAGAACTAATTATGTGTTGTCCTACAATGATTTACTAAAAAAGTATCATCATTACTGTATATATGGAAAGTATTCATGCCACCATATACTGTAGTACATATTTGATATCTGATTGAGTTTTTTTCCCCCTTTGATCTCCATAAACGAATTAATGTGTGTTATTTAAGGTAGATCTGCCAGACCCTATCATTATTAATCATCAGCCATGATCGATCTACTGCTGGATGAAGATCTCCATAAGCTGTCACTGCCTTTCAAACCCTATCATACCTTTTTCCCTTTTTATGCCACAAACAATGCTACTTTGTCACAGACCACTCCAATAAATAACATCTACAATAAAAGTGCATGTCACGTCTCACTACAAACAGTGCCTCGTGGAAAATGGTGGTGCATTATTATGACACTTCCTAACGTCCACGTACACAAGTAAGTGATTCACACCAGGGGGCCGATGGCTCAGCGATATCAGAGATTCGGTTATGAGATTAGAACTAAGCAGAAAGCTCCTAATACATACTGTACATCCAGTTCACCGGTAGTTTAGCCGATAGATGGGGCAGGGTAAGCTGGCAAAACAAACACTTGCCCGATGCAGAACCTCAGACTGTTCCCACTAAAAAAAAACATCTGTCAGGGACTTCACCGTTCATCGTCCTTCACATATTTTGCATCCATCCGTTAAAGTTGTACTTCAACAGTGATTACATGCGGTACACAGTGGCAATATGCGAAGGTCATAAAATGTATGGCCAATACTGGGCAATCAGAAGCTTACGTAAGAAGTCATATACGTATCGGTTATCACTATACTGTGAGTGTTTATCAGTAAAATAGCATACGATCCAGAAACACAGACTCGCTGTTCCTAAAACAAAACGCAAGTGAGTCTATGAATGTGAACATGTGTCTTCAATAAATATTTATGACGTGAATCCATTTATTCAAGTGTGAAGTGTTGTGACGTTATAGCAACATTTTCGGAAGCCTTCTTGATCCGTTGCTAGATTCGAGAACCATATCTCAAAAGCGTACATTTTCATCTTGCTAGCAGTATAGCAGCATTCATTTGCATGGAAAAAAATATACTTCTCACCAGACAAAACTTTCGTACATTCAAGGTGCCATGAACAACGGCTGAGTTATTCATTGATTTCCTTTGAGTTAATTTTCATAGATTTTTGTTTTTATAATAACTGTTGTCAGCAACTCTGATGTGGATAGCGTTCTCTCCATTTATGTTCATACCTTGAGTTATCGAATACAATTTTCAGAAAACATCCTCCAACGTTACTGAGAATGCTCACCTGAGTGAGAGTGTGCATGCTTTACCACTACCACTACTTTCGTTAAACTTTGTGTGGAACTGTCATTACATATATAATTCAGATAACAAATTTGATAAGGTTCTTATAGTGTAACATCTGTACATCAAATACAAAATAAATGTACAAGTCAAGTTTGTAATGGGGAACTAGAGTAATATATTTAACATTATGAGACCTCCTTTGCCAGAAACAAGATATAGGAATAGGTTTTACTCTTTTAACTGGCACAAAAACTGACACCTTTATTCAAGGCATCATGTTTAATGTTAATGCTCACCCCGAGCCCTCAATACTCTGATAGTGCGCTGTTTTTGAGTTGTACGCCTTTTGGCGTCTTCTGGTCCAACACCAATGGAGACTAGGCTCTAAGAAAAGCTGTCTCGGGTGTGGACCAATCAAATTCTAGGACAGTGCATATTATTATCAGAGTTGTCTTTTTTTGTTTGCATTTTGACTGCTTGTGTTGTGGTCATTGCAAACATGATGCCTTGAATAAAGGTGTCAGTTTTTGTGCCAGTTAAAAGGGTAAAACCTATTCCTATAGAGTAATATAGTTAATTTTTCATCCTGATAATATAATCAATTGATAAACTAAAAAATGTTCAGTATACCAAGCTATTAAATTTCCAATATTTAAACACATTCCAAGTTTCATGCATTGCTGTATTTATATAAAACAAGATGGAACCAGTCATAATATTTATGAATGCTCAGAATTACAGAATGCTGAACTTGAGAAACTATCTTGGAGTAAACTCAACTGACTCGTCAGTGGCACTGCAATGAGCAAAGACAGTGATCACATTAAAGCTATACAACAACTATAAACAGTTTTTATTTTTATTTTACCATGTAAGGCCCACTGAGCTATATAACTCTTTTTCAGAAGCCACCTGGCCACAAATGATAGCCGATGAAATGGCTTGTCATGTGGAAAGTTACATAACAACCAAATACTCTAATAAAGAAATATCCATTTGCTTCCATGACGTCAAAACTAATTATCTAGATGATGAACTTAACCTCTATAGAGCTGAAGCCCAAAGCATCCACTCATTCTCCAATACAACAGCCATCATGTGCCACTAAGTGGCAAGTGATATCACCGCGGCATGTTGCCATGGCCAAGCTCGGTGCACTTTCAAGGCACGGCGGAGTGGTAAACGTTCTCTGTTAAGGAGTCCCACAACAAGCCTCATATGATATGCATTAGCACACATACATTACACACTCAAACAGAGTCCACAGCGGCTTACTCGATGTTGAGAAACTTGACAGCGAGTGGCTCGGAGAGGGATGGTTCTTATCCATAACCCGACAACCCATTGAAGTTATTTCCCCCCATGTGCATAGGCAAGTGGTGTGCTGTCCTGTGGCTGTCATAGCAGAGCTTCAGGCCTTGGGCGATTTAAATACTGTAGCCGCATAATCGAATTCCCCATTTGTTCATTACAGAACACTTGTCAGAGTAGATCACGTCAATGAAGGGCCAGCCTTCCATGGACAGTGCGCAAGGCGTGATGAAGGGACACACACATTTGCCAGCAAAGGATATTTATTTTGCTTGCTCTGGGAGACCTAAGCAAGTAACACGCAGACTTTTGGGGCCCAATTCATCAAGTGTTGTTTGGTTGAATACCAATGTTACCAAGAAAATCCGCAACAGCGATTCTGACTGATTCCTGCAGCAGTTTTATGGCATGCCCTTTCTGTGAAGAATCAGTGGAATCCCTTTCCACACAAAAAAAACCCAAAGCCAATCAGTAGCTGGGGGAGTGCCGATGGGAATCAGGGTCGTGGTGCTGACATCAATATCTTGCCCTATCGACGGACAGAGCAAACCACTCAGGCCTCGTCCAAATCACAAAGACAAAGATCCCCAGTCTAGCCTTAATAGACTTTCGGATTAAGTGCTATTAGCGAGTAACACTTATGAAGGCCGGCACGGCAGACGAGGCAGTGGGTGACCAGCAATACGCCCGACCGCCTATGTCTCCCTAGTGGCGATGTTTATACATTACGAAAGGTACTCATTTGAGGCTCAGTCAACCTAGGAGAGGCCCAGTTCAGATAATCGTCACTTTCAGGTAAAAAAAAACACACACAAAAACAATGTAACTGGTGTTGGCCAAACATCTCAATGCTACCTGCAAATAAATCCGTTGGGATGACAATACACATCGCAACATCACTCCCTGCTGTGAAAACTCAGCAGTACCCGCCTGAAATAGGAGTCTTCAGCCTCAGTGAGGGTTTCTTGGGTAAACAAGCATAACAATAATTATACGGTTTTACCACGTGTTATTTGGCATGACGTCCAAAGTTTTGCTCTTGCAGAAGCTACCCGTACACTTTTTTATGGTTGTTTTTTAACATTTCATTTCATCTGAAAAAAAACCCTTGAGATAGAACATCTTGTTAACAAGAGTGACCAGGCTGTCAATTGATAGACACATAGCGAACAGGTAATGCGATACTCTTTGGTTCTATTCGGTAAAGTCACGTAGGTAAAAAATAAAACAACAAAAATCACGACGTTTCGGCCACAACACAAGCGGCCTTCATCAGGTGAAGGGACCAAACTGTCTCGAGGACAGCGCTGGAGTGAAACACAGCCACGCTCAGACTCCAGCGCTGTCCTCGAGACAGCCTGGTCCCTTCACCTGATGAAGGCCGCTTGTGTTGTGGCCGAAACGTCGTGATTTTTGTTGTTTTATTTTTTACCTACGTGACTTTACCGAATAGAACCAAAGAGTATGGATCCTTGCAGTCACGAAAGCTTTAAATCTAGAAAGGTAATGCGATGCATGAAAATATATTGAATCTATCACTTACAGAGTAAGTGGAACCGAGTTCATGAAAAAGCTCCCAGCACGTGGAGCGAAACGTCGGACACCATACCGAACAACACGCTCGGTGCAACCCGAAAACACATCGGAGAGGTATGCTGCACAACCGTGAAAATTTATGCAGAGAGATCCCATTGAGGCACAGGATTATAGCGCTACTTAAAAACAATGTTAGCGATGATGATGATGAAGACGATTATAGTGATGATGATGATGTACAACATCATTCAATTTAAACTATGAACTATTTATTTTACCAGGTAAGGCCCACTGAGCTATATTGCGGTTTTTCAGAAGCGACCTGTCCACAAACGATAGCTCAACGAAGCAGCTTATCACGTGGAAATTTATAGCAACCTAATACTCGAAACGCGTGATGTTGATTCTAAATGTGGAGGAAAAAACCGGCGGACCGGGAGGAAAATCCACGCGACCACAGACAGAAAATGCAAACTCCAAATATACAGCAGGCGTCAGGGTCGGGATCGAAGCCACGACCTCCTGTGTACCAGGCAAAGTAGTTATTATCTCGCCGCTGTGTTCCCACCTGTAAAAGGAGTTCACCCTCGGGTAGGACCATGTCGCTTGTCCCTGAGGCATCCTTGATCCGGTCACCACTGTTGCTTTTCAGGGCTAATTTAAGAGAGAGAGAGAAACATCGCCACAACAAGAAGTGATTCAGCACAACAAAAAGCATAATTTAAACTGACGTTAAAAAAATTGCCCAGAAAAATATTGACGAGCAGCATTTCCCTTCACAAGTAAATTGACAAACCCGTGCAGAACGTCTCATATGCAAGAAAAGGGAAAGCAGCCAACCTTTAAGTGGACGGGAACTCAATGTCAACATATGACCAGGACTCCCTTGCAAAAAGTCGATATTGAACTGGAATGGCTACTCGCTGGGAGTTTATTTTTTATTGCACCAAGTGTGCAACGTTCCCCTCCACTTGCTGGAAGTATAACCCGAAAAAGCACGGGAGAGTTTATTGTTCTTTCGTTTAGCAAATATGTTGTCTTACCTTACATACACACTAGATCTATGAACGTTATTTATAACCAGAATAGAGCTCACTATTAGAAAGACAATCTCTTCACTAGGTAGATTTTTAAATCGTGCATTCTGCATTTACCTTTCAATGCCACAAACAAAACTGTTTAAATTATCCTAGAAATCTATTATTATGAATATTAAACTAAATAATCACTTTCACGTCACACAGAAGAGATGCAGCGGTACATTTTAGAATGTTGTGTTACGTTACATGCTTTTTTGATATTTGTTCACGTATGTATTTATTTGCTAATTATAAAGAGGGAATGGGACTTAAATGCAATGAACTCACTAAACTAATGGCAAGGTAAAATACCACATTTCAGTTGCATTTATTAGATATAGCCCTGTGAGCCATGCGGCTCTTGACTCGGGTGCAACCGCAACAAAAACATGAACAAAGAACATCTTAAAGTGACTACACGCAACAGAAAAATCCAGGAAAAAAACAGCAAAAGTCTTAAAGAAAATTGTGTCAATGTGCAATGCATTGGGTTCAAGCGGTGAAGGGGTAAAGAGTACACGATGTCTCCGATTCGCCACAGTGGCGAGATGTTATCTCCCTCGCCCGGTATGCAGGAGGTCGTGGGTTTTATCCAGAACCTGACGCCTGTATATTTGGAGTTTGCATGTTCTCCCCATGGTCGCATGGATTTTGCTCCGAGTCCTCTGGTTTTTCCCTCCATGTTTAGAATCAACGTCCGTTTAGAGTATTTGGCTACTATACATTTACACACGATGAGCCACTTCGTTGAGCTATATTTGTTGTGGCCAGGTCGCTTCTGAAAAAGAGCTATACAGCTCAGTCGTAGTTTAATAGGCTGACCTAATGTGATCGGCCATCACTAGTTTGAGCTGAAGAAATACGATCTGTCTATTAGCTATTGCTCTTCCCTGTGCACAGCGTCGTGGTTGCTATGAAATGCCGCACATTTGGCAGAAAGCTTTTGAACTGTCCGCGTCTTTTGAGGGCCAGCATGCCTGGACAGTGTTAGTCACAATGTCCCATCTGTTTACCCGCAATGTGAACTAATGCCCTTACAGTCCCTCAGCCAAAAAAAAGCAATCAGCCAACACCCTCAGGTTATATTTACCACAGTATTTAATTACGAGGAACACCTGTCATAAATCATTAGAACAATTAATGCAATGTGGAAATTTATCAAATTACTAGAAATGCATTCCAGGTCAATATCAACCGTGCATGAATGCTAAACAGAGATAGGCTCATCCAGGTTACTAATCAACTTCGACAAGGTCGCATAAAATTGCTGCAGCCTCAGCCAAAAGGGAGAGCATGGCGACAAGCATGCATACCTTTGCATATGTCGTGGGTTCAACTGAATCGCAGACGTGCACTTGGGGGCAACACATTTAACTCCAACACAAAGGGGTAACTTCCCCGAACAGAATAACAAGCTATGGTGGTGACCACCAGGCTAACTACACTAATCACAACGTAACTGGCTACTTCGGACCGGGACCCACGGCTCTGCTCCAGGTCCACGTGTTGGAGACTCGGTAGAGCGTAGACGAAGGTTTCTTCAGGATGAACAACAACAACGCCGGCCCCTCTGGGGGACCCGGCTTATATTCTCTGCGGCAGGGCCGGCTCCGCCCTTGGCCACGGCCACCTTCCAGAATCCTCGAGCAGGATCTGGACCCCGACCACGTGACCACCCCTAGCCCCCACTTGGGGCCACTTTGTAGACTGAACCGGTCACGTGTCCTCTCGGGTCAACCAGAGTGCCATGGCCTTTAGTAACTTCATTCCTACGGCCGGCACTCCCACACCCTGTCCTGTAGGGGCTGGCACTGCACGCCAAGCGTGGTGTCATCCAGCGCTATCAATCAGCGCTCACCGCGCCCCTCTAGGGCCAGTACTACACCCACACCACTGTGGTGTCCGCGATGTCGTTACACCGCACGCCGTGCCTCTCGAGGGCCGGCACTACACAGTGACATCCCGCGATGTCACTACGCATGCATCTGTATCCACGCCTGTGTCTTTGTGCTCGTGTAGGGGAGCGACAGTGCAACGGTCAGCCCGAGTACGACCACTGGACACCACAAACAAATATATTAATGAAGTGTTCAATCAGGAAATTTAACAGCGCTTTGTCTTTGTCCACATGAGAATGCAGATGTGTGCTTATTTACATGTAGAGTGTTTTTCGCTCACGCTGTTGCACGTGAATAAGGACTTACATTTTGACTTAAAACTAATAAAATAAAATATTTTTTTTTAATAAAAACCAAAAACTCACGTCTCCACCTGATGACGACCGCTTGTGTTGCGATCGAAACGTCGTGAGTTTTTGGTTATTATATTTTTTTTCATTAATTTCTATCTACGTGACTTTACCGAAAGAACCAAAGAATATGAATAAGGACTATTATTGTCATTTTAATAGCCCACACATACATCTAAAGACACTGCAAGTTCCCAACGTACCTGGCTGACTGCAGCTTTATATATTCCCAGTGGTTACGAGAAGACAAAAATCAGCCATTACAGTGCCCTTGTAGACAACACGATCGAGTCTGAATCGGAATATGGCACACCTGTCAATCCATTATCAGTGCCCTACCTTATTACAGACCAATTCAGACCTTATTGGTCACCCCGTGCCCTTATAAATATCAACGTTCATACTACAAAGTACCATCACATGGGAGAATCACGCACAAATAGACAAAAACATGTTTTGCCCGTATTAAAACGGCCGTACGCCGTATGGACCTGAAAACTCAATTTCCCTGTACAAGAATAGAGGTAAATCATATGGGTTGACAGATATGGTATGGAATGGCCTTACGTGTTGCCTACACTTACGGCTATGTAATGGTTACACATATGCGTCTTTGTTTATGCAAGCGCAGCATGGAGCTGATCGTTGTTACTCATCGCAAATAAAAAAAACGCGTTTCTGACGGTAATCTGATCATCATATTTAATCTGCGGCACGTTGGACCAAAAAACAGAGCTCACGCTCAAATGTTGGAATTGTATCCCACTTAACGGAAAACCTCAGTTTTTTTTTTCCGCTGGACACATCTGTCATAACTTGCTCTCGTTGCTCAGGTAAATCATGAATAGAAATGGCAATCTTAAATTTTCCATTCACAAAAATGGTCCATTGTTTTCAAGGGCATAATGCTTATCGGTGTTATATGCATGCAGCCAATGTATAATTATAATCCTTCCGTTTTCTCGAAGTAGGCAAACAAATGCTGAAACATTCATGAGTTGTCTACAAAGCAGCACAGCAAGGTATCTTAAAATAAGTAAATATAATTAGATAGGAATAGTTTATATATGTTATGGTTACTGCTTTGCCACGGTAAGTTGATAATGGATGATTTAGTCTCTTTGGAGAGTATGAAAAGTGAGATGATATACAACATTCAGCAGATAAATATGTTATAAACCCTACATGTGTTTACAATTGTTTTCCTGTACATGTCTGCACATTGTTGAAGGCAATGTAATTGTTCATCTGGCTTTTGGAAATTATTCTTTAGGCATCTGAGACCAATTGTCAAGGGTGTGAAATGCGAACATTTGAATGATGCTACAAGGCACGTTGCACAGAATGTACGAGTGCATAGGTCATATATACAGCACTCTCTATACTGGACATCTGTGATGAAGAGCTTCACAGCTCATAGGATCCCTCCAGTCTAAATAAACATTCTGATTCGATACCAATTCATGCAGTTGGCATAGAGGTTATACGTTTTAGGTATACAAATGGACACAACTTCAGAGTATGTATACATAGGGATATTATTGAAAGCAGTCTGGGATTAAAATATATATTTCAAAATAACTTTGAAGCCACAATCGTCCACTGTTATCAAAGACATTGTGTACCGTTATATGAATGCATCTTATGTATAATTATAGTACTCCTATTTCAAAAAAACAAGGCTAACAAACGCGAAAACATTGATACATTGTATAAATGATTACTGTATAAGTTATACATTTAATATGTTTGTATACGTGCCAACGATCCATCTTGAGTTTAACCAGACTGGATGTTGTGGGATCCTTTAAAGATCTAGACAGTCTCATCAGTAAGCTCTTCTGGAAAGTGACGGTGCATTGGCTGGGTCATGTAGCCCGCATACCAAGCAACTGCATGCCCAAGCAGTTTCTGTTTGGCCGGAGAGAAGGGGCAAAATGGACACGGCTTGGGCTAGAGAAGAAAAAAGGCCTGATGTGGTACAAGAGGATGTAAAGCTGAATGGACTTGCGAATGACCGGTTCCAGCAGTGTCAAGATTGGTCTCTGTGGAGGAGGCTCGTGAAGGACGCTGCTACTGGGCAGTTGGAGGCAGCCGCCCTCCAACAACAGCGGAGGGCATGTGAGCGACGCTCAAAAGGAGCAGAGGTCGGGCAGCAAAAACTCATAAAACATGGGCCTGTATTGTGACCTCCTGTCAGCGAGCCTTCGACACTCCACATGGCCTCAAGGTGCACCTAGCCTTGAGGCCGTTGTGATCGCCCACCACTTATTGGTAAATGGTGTTTGTCCTTGTTGTTGCAATTAACACCTTGGGCACCTTTGCAA